GGGCCCTCTGTAATAATGAAATTTACTACGAGTTTTATATGAGAGACTCCTCTTAAATTGTAATTACAGCAATTACACCACGCTCATAAATTCTAGATGAGAATTGATTAAAGAGGCATTTTCTGAAGAGCCAAAGATCTTCCATTTAATTTTGCTTGCCCTTCCATCAAATTCTTTTCTTTTTATATTTTTTTCTTTTCTTCCTGTTTATCTGTCTATTCATTTAGTTTTAATCAGCAATATTTAGTAATTACAGTGTAAAGAAACACAGCCGTCACAAATAGTGGTCTCGCCAAGAGCGTTACTTAAAAAATAAAAACGTGATCACAGGTTTCACTTCGAACAAATTCACTGTCGCTATACATTAATCATTGAAATACACTGTTGTTTTTTGCTTTGTTTTTTTTTTATTGATGTCAGGAAAACAAAAAAAAAATGAACTAAAAAGATGCGATGTAATCGTTAAATAAATTAGAGGCAAGAATAAGGATTCCATTATAAACAAGAAAGCAAAATTAGTTCTTAAATGAGAGTCGTTTATACGTCAGTTTCATGTACAAGACGATTCATTAATCTTAGATTTACATATTTAGAGATTATCTCTAAAGAAAGACAAACGTTAGTGATTCACGGTTATGTAGAACTGGAGCAATGGATAGCGGCTCGGATTGTGAAATCGGAGAGCCGAGTTCGAATTCCAGTCTTATCCTTTACATTCACTTCCGAAAAGATATGAATCCTCTTCTTCTCCCCACCACCCAGCTATGGGTAAATGGCAGGACAGACTGGGTTTTATAGCCTTGGTTGGCAACTTATCTACTGCAGAAAGAAATGGCAATCTAATGTGGGAAAAAAATTCTACTTCGTCAGTCATGTATTGAAAGATACATGATTGCCTAAGCATATATTACGCATGGCACATAACTGACTGACTTATTGCCCTTTATAAGAGCCAGTGTCATAATACGATGTTCTAACTACGTTCCCATGTCTCTTCTAATTATTACATTCTAATAGCAGCTCGGATTGAGGAATGGGAGAATCGAATTTCACTCGAATCCATTATATTCACTTACAAGCTAATACCCTTGGGAAAGGTATGAATCCTATTCTTCTCTCACCAGCTAAGGGTAAATAGCAGGACAGACCGGTTTCTATAGCGTTAGACAACTTTTCTACCGCAGAAATAAATGGTAACATACTGCGGGAAACAAATCTGCCTCGTCAGTCATGTATTGAAAGATACATGATCGCCTACGCGTGTATCACGCATGGCACATAACTGACTGACTGATCTGGCTTGAGGTTAAGCGCGTGGTAAGGTTTTGGATCTCATAAACCTTCGTTAAAGCATTTGGTTAGGAATGTTCTGATTCACTACTTGTGCCGAGGACAGAAAATGTGACACTGAGATCCGAAGGCGTATTGGAATAGTCAAGGAAGTATTCCAAAAGTTAAGAAGAGTACTAAGAAATACAAACATTTCGCTTGAAACAAGAAAAAAATGTGCTAAATTTCTACGTGATATCTGTCCTCCCTTGTATGTCTGTGAGTACTGGACGATCTCCTCGAAGATGAAGAGGAGACTTGAAGCAAGAAAAATGTATTTCTACAGCAGGATGTTGTGGATACCATGGACCGAACATGTGAGCAATGATGCTGTTTTGAAGAAAATGGAAACAAAAAGGAAACTAATACGAATATCCACACCTGAGTGAAAAGAGAGTTGAAGTTTCTGGGGCACAGAATGAGGAAAGAGAGCTTGGAAAATCTGATACCCACAAGACAGTCTGAAGGCGAGTGGGACAGAGGAAAACAACGCATAATTTACTTAGGGAGCTTGAATAAATGGATAGCGGAAGAGGGATTAAGAGAAATAACAGAAAGTCTATTCAGAGCTACAAGGTAAAGGAAATTGTGGAGAACCACGATCGAAGAAGAAGGCGCATGAACAACTGATGATGCAGCCTTACTCTTTTTTTATAGATTTTTATGCTCAGAGAATGGGTTTGTCCCAATGCAAAGCATTTCGTGCCTATAAAAAGTTAACTGAGTTTCTAGGCGTAGCAAAACGGCCTAAACTATGTTGGCACCCAGTGAGGATCAAACTCACTATTCAGTCCTAACTGATCTAGCGAGACAGGTTTGCTGACCATTATATCATTTCAAAGTCTCCAAAATGGTTTTCTAATCGTATGTTAGATGTGTCACAAATCCGAATGTGTCGAGCACACATTTAGAATCGAACTCACTACTCAGTTATAACTGTGGTAGTGAGTCAATGTTGTTAACCATTACACAATTTCAATGTGCTCGTCTCTACATAATAATAAATAAAGAAATAACAGCTTAATGATGCTATGGTTTTCGTAGAAAGGTTTTCAAAGTTGAGTTTGCTTGCCCCAAAGTCAAGCAAAATTGAATTCATTGCTTTTTCGTCTCCTAAACTGGTTTACAACCACGGCTAGAGATCTTAAATCTACCCTGCTATTAATCCTTAGAAGGGATGTGAAGAAGAGATGGTTTCATAGTTTTACATGTGCGATTGTGTATCTGTTTATCACAAGGTAGTTTTAAAAGTCATATTTATACGAGGAGTTAATTCGCACCATGAATCATACGCCATGTCAGAACAAATTTTGTCTCGCCATGTAGGCAGAAACCACTTAATATTAATAAGTAAAAACATTAGAAACAAATATCCCAGATGAATTTATTTGCACGCAGTCTAACTACTTTTAAAAGCCTTTCGAAATCATTTCAAGTGATATTGCAGAGCTCATGAGTAGGAAGAGGTAGCAGTTGTGTAGTTATAGTGTGGAGTTGGTTATACTTGTAACCAAGTGTAAATTTATCTCTCCCTTCTTCTCTACCCATATATATATATATATATATATATATATATGAAAGTGAACATAGAAGTCAATACTTAGAGACGACAGGCTGTTTCATGCTGGACGCAATCGTTAGGTCACAAATGTTGTTTCTTTTTTCTCGGCTATTTATATCTAGCATGAAACAGCCTGTCGTCTCTAAGTGTTGACTTCTATGTTCACTTTCATATATATATATATATATATATATATATATATATATATATATATATATATATATATGGGTAGATAAAGAAGGAGAGAAATTACACTTTATTTTTTTTTGCAAGTTTTGGATTGGTTGTTGTAGGCTGATGAACTTTTCTTATTTTCCAAGATATTTTTTGGTGTGATGTGCGTTTTTTTGAAATTTCCCAGATATACTTAGAAAGCATTGTTCGCGTATTTACTATTCATGAAAAATGTTTTGTGTGCATAATTTCTTTGTTTCCAGGGTGCTTCAGTTACTCCTATGTATACTTTTCTTCATTATCTGGTGATTTGGTCGTATCTTGGTATATTGCGTTGTTGTGTAAGCAATTACCGTTTAAGGGACATTCGTTCTTTATTCTGCAGTTACACGTTGGTTTAATTTGTTCGTGTAGTTTGTTGATAGTTTTCCTGTTCTGCTTTTTTATTATTTGTGCTATGACAATAAAATACCTATAGACTATCGCTTCATGAAATATGTGAGCTTAAAAAGATGTATCAAAATATTACAAAAACAATTGTTATTATAATAACGATCATAAATATGAATGTTAGTCGTTATTTCATGAGGTATTGGCCGGACCTAACGTAAAGATGTTCTAACTAAAGGAGGGAAAAGCAGAATTAGAAGATAATATATTATAATATTAATAATTCTTTTTTTCTCATATTGTCTCACACTCAAAACCCGTTTTGCCCTAGTGGGCTTATTGCCTTGATTGGTGGGGGGATGATTTTTAAAAAAGAAATTGGAATCCCAGTTTGCAGAGGCAACCCAACTTCAACTATGGTGATTTTCTAAGCATGGCTTAGATGTGGCACAAGGCCGGATGTATTGGCCATTCAGTGAGGATCGAATGAAACTTCAAATATGATCTTAGATATCATAGTTTTTGGAACTTATTACATGAAACTGATCAATACCTAAAAACATAGATTTTACTGTATGAACTTCGGATGATAAATTATCACTATTATACATTAACATATTCAGATTTCTATAATCATCTTGGTTGGGATAGACACAGCGTTTCGGCTGTTCTTCTATATCGTAATATTCTTCTGGTGCCTGTCGTATTCTAAGAGTTTAGAACTGACCCTTCATTCGATCTACAGGAGCAAATTACTCTTTCTCTCACCCCTTTGTCGGAAGATCAACTAAACAATTATTAAACCTTGTGATACGGCTTCTGTTCATTCCACTCAACCAGAATATATGTATTTTCATTGCCTGATTCACATACTGTGATCCCGACTGCCCAAATTTTCTATTTTTTTCTATGCTATTATCCCAAGCTATACAGTGAAGCACCGAGGCAATTCTGAGAGAACTGAAAGCGGGAATCGCCATTGGCGGACACAATCTTAACAACATAAGATACACAGATGACACAGTACTGATAGCAGATTCGGAAAAGAAATTCCAAAATCTCCTACAGAAGGTAGCGAGGGAGAGCTAGAAGAAAGGACTAACCACAAATTACAAGAACACAGAATGTATGGTCATCAGTAAAAAGATGAGCCCGAAATACGGTTGACATGTCGGGGATACTAAAATCAAGCAGGGGCGAATATTTAAATATCTGGGAAGTCTTTTGACAGAGGACGGTATGTGCGAAGCTGAGATCCGAAGAGTTATTGGGATGGCCAAAGATGTATTTCAAAAGATAGGCAGGGTATCACGAGATAGGAATATTTCTTTGGTAATAAAGAAAAGAGAACTGAGCTGCTACGTGATATCTCTTCTCCTTTACGGCAGCGAATGTTGGATGGCCTCCTCGAAGATACTCACCGGACAATAGAGGGAAAGAGAGGCAAGGGAACGCAACGTATGGCATACCTTGTGGGTTTAAGCAAGTGGATGACAGAACATGGCCTGCGGGAAGTGGCAAAGAGACAAAACTTGTTGAGAGCTACAAGGGACAGGGAGAGAGGGTGAGAGAGAGAGAGAGAGAGAGAGAGAGAGCAATGATCGTCTGCGGCATATAAAAAGAAAAGAAGCTATTATAACTTAGGAAAATAAGAATTCAGGTTGACTTTTTTTATCTCTAATCAAAGATTCACATATGCTATTCAATTCTGTATGAGTCATATTTAGATTATCAAAGCATAACAATTGCGTTAATACTTTCAATTATCTTATTCTCCACTGTTGTTCTCCATTTTTTGCAACATCATTCCATAGAGGGTTTTGACTCTACTTTTCCCTTCACACATGCGCATTAATGCTTGACTTTATAGTTTCTAAACGGACTGCAACTTTTGCCTGACGTCAGCACAGTTCGTCATATTTTTAAAAACTCTCAAACCCACTTCCTTTACACATACTAAAAATTGTTTTTAATGTTTCAACTTGGCTGGATGACTTGTTTTCGCTGTTGTTTTTGTATTTTCTTCCATTAATATATTATTGTTTGTATTTTTGATTTGTTTTTGACATGTCAGATCAACAATTTTAATAAGAAAATTTTAGATCGAAAATTCGCAGTACATTTACCTGAAACTATTTCAAACGTACCAATAAATTACAAAATATCGTTAAAAAGTCGAGGTTTGGTGGGACAGTCTCCCAAGAGGATGCTTTCTCGATCACTACAGTATTAATCACTTCAAGCCTAGGGTTGACTGTTATCTCGCCTACAAAACCTGCACTTCTTACCCCATCATCTTACACCATTGTGTAATCTTCTACCGCGAGTGGCTCTTAGGCCCGGTATTGTGTGAAATTTAGTATAGGAAAAACATTCTGAGTGCTATATCCCGGAATGGGATATATTCGATGGAAGTAGCTAAGTGGGTTTGGCTACTGTAACCAAGTAGTACACAGTAGCAGTAATCGACTGGTACTCGTCGTAGTCGCAGGTAATAGGTGTAGATCAATAGGATAGCCAATGGCGTAGTCCAATGGGCGTCGTCATAGACTTAAACTCTGTCGTAACTACACGTCCGTCTGTATTTATGACGGAAACCAGTCAATCATATTCCATTGAGGGGGAATTCAGGTGTATGCATATTCCATTATATCACTGAGTAAATGTTTATTCAAAGATAACACTTGTGATAGTTATTTCCATTTTTCCGGTTCTATTTACAGAAAGATGAAATAATATAAATTGTTCGATATCTGTCGTAACAAATCCTTATAAAGAAGTCATTCTCGTCATGGGTAGCATTTTTATATGACTAGAATTTATTTGCTGCACACTGACGCGCGTTGAAATCCTCATAGAATTTAGTATTGTTGAATTTATCGCTAACAGTTTTGTCGAGATTTACAAACTCTACGTTTCGTTCAAATTTCACAAGCCCAGCGATGAAATTTGAATAAACTGATTTGTTTTGAAAAATACTTTGACAAAAACCCTACTTTGCGTTTTATAATTCTTTAATTTAATTTGATTTTATAGGACTCCATGTTAAACAATATTTTTTTAAGAAAACTTCTTTTTTGTTCATTTTTCCTTTTTAACAACGAAAAATAAATTCTTTAATTTCTTACTCTTGAGCATTCAAATTACAACTGGCCATGCGTAAATACAACTGGCCATGCGTAAATATCTTCTGGAGCCAAATTCAAACATTTTGAAACGTTTGTGATTTGTTTAGAGTTCTCGCAAAGGCTGGTCGAACTTAAAACTGAATTCTTGTATATATAAAAGAAGAAAAAATAACAATATTGCAATAACAATATTGCAGTTTTAATTAAATTTTTTATTAAATTGTTTTTAAAATAGCCGGAGTATTTTTCATTTTAAATAATAAAACTAATTTTTCCTGAAAAATGAATGAAAATTTTTGTACTAAGCTACGCCCCCTAGAAAAACCAACTGTACTGGGTACCCCTTTACCTTTTTGCGCTTCTCCCCAAAATTTGACCGTCCTGGGTATGATGATAAACTACATCTGGCAGCAAGGCCTCTGATCGGTAGGTTTTGAGAAGCGTGGAACCATCTCTTAACTGCTGTTGCTCCCAGGTCCAACCTGACCCAGGGTGGTAGCACCTGTTAGGGTCCCAGCTATAGGCAAATAGCTAACCAAAAAACTGGAGTCAAAACACTATAAAAGTATAAAAATAGATTTTATTGTAAAAATACCAGCAAAACATTTTTAAATATATATATTATTAGCAAAATTTGAAAAAGAAAAAAAACATAAATATTACCAGCCCATACATTTGACTCTCGACAAAAATCCTCTTTACAAAAATACCTCAAAGAAACCTGATCTAAAAAATGATTTCTTACAAAGAATACATATTCTATTCATATGGAACTATTCTAAAAATTTTAGGCATTAAATAACCCATTAGGTTGATATGGCGTAAAACAAAATAAAACAAACCAATCTAAGTCAAAAATACATTTTCAATTCATTCGAATATATCCTAAAAATGTTGTCGACATTAAATAACCCATTGAGGTTGATATGGCGTAAAAAGCAAAATTAAACCAAAGAATAATATTCTATTCATACGAATATATCCTAAAAATGTTGTCGAGGTTGATATGCCGTAAAAAACAAAAATAAACCAAACCAATCTAAACCAAATAATACATTTTCAATTCATTCGAATCTATCCTAAAATGTTGTCGGCATTAAATAACCCATTGAGGTTGATATGCCGTAAAACAAAATAAACTAAACCAATCTAAACCAAATAATACATTTTCAATTCATTCGAATCTATCCTAAAATCTAAACCAAATTGTTCATTCGTTAAAAATAACCCATTGAGGTTGATATGCCGTAAAACAAAATAAACCAAACCAATCTAAACCAAATAATACATTTTCAATTCATTCGAATCTATCCTAAAATGTTGTCGGCATTAAATAACCCATTGAGGTTGATATGCCGTAAAACAAAATAAACCAAACCAATCTAAACCAAATAATACATTTTCAATTCATTCGAATCTATCCTAAATAAATAACCCATTTTTGATTCATTAAACGAAACCAATCTAAACCAAATAATACAAATTCATTCGAATCTATCCTAAAATGTTGTCGGCATTAAATAACCCATTGAGGTTGATATGGTGTAAAGCAAAATAAACCAAACCAATCTAAGCCAAAGAATACATATTCTATTCAAATAAACCAAACGAACCAAAAGAATACACATTCTATTCATTCTAAAAATTTTGTAGGCATTAAATAACCTATTAGGTTGATATGGCGTAAAGCAAAATAAACCAAACCAAACCAAACCCAAAATTTGTTTCGATTGGATAATGTATGGTTATTTTGCATTAATTTTTCTGTACTTAAGTATAATATTGTTTCTTCTCTTACTTTACGATAACCGACAGGTTCGATAAAAAAAAATAACTTTTAATGTAATTATTAAATAAAGTATATAGAGAATGAATGAATGAAAGAGAATACAAAAACTATAGTATTTCCTAACGTATTTTTATTGAAGTTAGATTAGTAATGTTATTGGTATATCAAATGCTTTTATGACATATTACAAAATGACTCAAAACACCATAAGATATACTTGCATATGTAAACATACATACACACATACACACACACACACACACACACACAAACATATATATATATATATATATATATATATATATATATATATATATACGCGTGTTTCATTAAGAACCACAAACAGACAAGGTACTATGGTTAAGCTTTTTATTTAATTTTTCTTGTGTTCGATCAAGAGCTTTGTTTCCTGGAAAAAGAGTGTGTAAAAATTAACCAAATGTTTTATAGTTCCGAGCGCTTTTGGCTATTCCTTTAGCCATTATCAAGGATGATTCAATTTTTCAGCTTAATTGAGTGTGTGCATTATGTGTAAGTTTTAGTGTGTTGTAGATATGTTTTTAATTTCCGAATACGGTTAGCGCATTGTGGCCTTATTCGTAGTTAATATTGTTAAGAGTTGGCTTTTTCTTTTTTATTAAAACTTCCACTATTTTTAACAATATTAACTACGAACAAGGCCACAATGCGCTAATCATATTCGAAAATTAAAAACATCTGGTACCTTGTCTGTCGTTTTTATAAACGAAAACGAAGGATTGCTGTCTAAATATAAAATAATAACTATATATATATATATATATATATATATATATATATATATATATATATATATAGAAATATACACAATATTTTACATTAAGTGCATAATTTATATATATTAATGTAAGATATTATGTATATTTCTTAATATATATATATTACATAGCTCTGTTACTTAACATCGAGCACTGTTTTTCTTACATTATAATGTATTTATATGTATTTGTGTACGATCGCTCGCTCGTATGTACAGGTTCTGGGAGAGGAGAGTGTTATCTAGTGTGATCAACAATCTGAAAAAAGGCCAGCACGTTCAAAACCTCGATCATGAAAGCGTGTTGCGTCTACACATTATCAGTCACAAGACTTGGGTGTTATGGATATCCGGTACTTTCCAAATGTTCCTCACGCTGAGATCGCCTCCGCCAGATGGGTAACATGAGGAAGTCACCTTTTTAACAAATCGTTCATGAGTCCCGTGTCAGAAACGGAACGTTCTAACCACTTTCCCATATATATATATATATATATATATATATATATATATATATATATATATATATATATATATATATATAATAAATATATATCTTAACACAGTATATATATATATATATATCAGGTCATTATATAAGTTCTCTCCGAATTTTGAATAACGAAAACAAGTGACCAAATGTTACATTTAATTACAGATTCAATCAACAATGTATTTTCCTGATTATCTATGACTTCATTCCATCTATTAACAAGCTTACTAATTTCATTACTTTAAAATTCTTTTGGCTTTGATTCGAAGAACTCACAAATGTCACTTTTAACCTCTTCCTGTGTTACAAAAGCTGTTTCTTCCAAATGAGTCTGTAATCTACGAAACAAATGGTAGTCTGAAGGAGCAAGATCAGGAGAATAAGGTGGATGAGGAATTTTTTCCCAACCAAGTTTTTCGATCTTTTGTGACGTGATTCTTGCTAATGGGTCGCGTATTGTCCTGATGAAACATCACCCATTTTCGATTCACTAGAGCAGGTCTTTTTCCTCAAAGCTTGGTCCAAACGCTCTAATTGCTGACAATATATTTGAGCATTAATTGTTGCATTAGGTGGTAAGAATTCAAAATGGATTATTCCTTGGCGATCCCACCAGATTGAAAGAAGAACCTTTTGTCCATGAAGTTCCCTTCCCGGCTGTGGATGGGGTCCTTCCCCTTTACCAAGCCACTGTCTACGACGGTTAACATTTCGATAAAGGAACCATTTTTTGTCGCCAGTCACAAGTCTATCTAAAAATGTAAACAAGTTGGCGAGAATGGAGAGAAGAGCAGATGTCAACTCAGGATTTGAGGTTGTTTACAGGCAATTCATGAGGCATCTATTTTCCAAGTTTAGGAACTTTTCCAAGTTGTTGAAAAACGATTGTATGGTTTGAACTGAGAACCACTGCCAATTCCTCAGCTGGTAAAGCAGGTTTTTCTTCAAGGGCTGCTTCAAGAAGCTTTTCATCAAACTCAACTGGACGCCCGGTTCGATCTTCATCTTCAAGAGTGAAATCTCCACCTCTGAATGTTGCAAACCATCTTCTGTAAGTTCTTTCATTCACACATTCCTCTCCATAAACCGAGTGAATGTTTCTAGCCGCTTCGGCTGCTGAGTTTCCTTTCTTGAACTCATAAAGCATTATGTGCCTCAAATGATTCTTGGGTACTTCCATTGTTAGTAGGGTTTTAATCAAACAAAATTTAATTTTATTGTTATCTGAAATAAAATTTGATCTTTAAATGAAAACATAAAAATAATGTTCAGCTCGAAAAATTTGAAATCAGTTTAAATTCGTTCATTTAAACATAAAACAGAACTTAATGTTCATAACTTTATATAAATGTATCGAATCGATTAAAAAATGATATCTATTATAAAATAATAGCTCTTTCTAAACAAAATAAAATAGCACTCAATGAAATATATATATATATATATGTAACACCAGCAATCAGTGTATATATTATATATATATATATATATATATATATATATATATATATATATATATATATATATATATATGTATATTTATATATTATATATGATGCTTATTGGAAAACACTCAATATCAGTTAAGAGCGAACATATTTAGTTGGAACGTTTTGTGAGCATTAATCGTCAAAAGAGACGATCTCGATACCGATGGTAGATGTATTTATATAATATATTTATTTATATATATATATTATATATATATAAAATGTATTTATATCATTTTAATATATAAATTCCAACGTTCACAGCATTAATCAAAAAAGAACTCAACCGATGGTTTCGATAACAAAAGTGCATTTTTCAACTTTCACTTCACATCGACTCGTGAGAATCGGAAATGCTCTGAAACCAAGTTGCATCTTTCTAGTGAGCAAAATGGTTTTGTCTATATGATAAAATTATAATACATATATATATATATATATATATATATATATATATATATATATATTGTGTGCTGATGTTAGTAAAAATATGATCGATTGAATATAACAGACTTATTAATTACATATTAATAAATATATATTTTTCCTAACAAGTTGCACGATTCGTGGTTACTTACAGAACGCAATCTTCAGGTTCTGGGTAGTGAGTGACCGTTACATAATTTAGATTTTAATAAAAAAATATTTCGTGAACGCAATGCTATCTCAGGCTATATATTATACGGGGATTACTTCTTTTTTTTATTCTTAAAAAACAAATTTGTTAAAATAGACGGGATTTTATATTTAAAATAAACGGGGGTTAAGGGTATATTTTTTTAATTTATTAAAATAAACGAACCTAAATCTATAAAACAATTAATCTTTGGGGTTTGGGAACTTTATTATTTTATACAGATGGGGACATTTATTTTAATCTAACTCCTATTGGATGTCTTTGTAAATGAACATCGTGTTAGCGCCTTAGCAGTTCCTTTTTTTCTTGCGTTGTCCTAAGCATAGATCTCTTTTACTCTGTGATTTATCTCCAGTTGGCAGCAAAGAATTATAGATATTTTGTGTAGTTTAGTCAGGGACAAGTTAGTAGGACAGAAAATGTGACTAGGATTATTCTGTTGGGCCAATTTTCCGAAACAAAAAGCTGGTTGCTTCGAAAATCAGTATTCGAATCTATGGCTTTGAGTGAAAACTTAGTCAGCGGTAGGAAAAAAAAACCCTAAAATTTCTGGGTCCTGACAGGATTATTGATTTTATTCATCTCAGACCAAAAAACAGACCAAATAAGAATATGGATCAGGAAAGACTGGGTTGAACCATTTAAAAAAAAAAAAAAAAAAACAGAAATATACTCAGCATTCAGAATACTAGCTTCGATATATAGCTCAAACATCGACTACTGTAAACCTATTTATTAGGTTGGTGCAAAAATAATGACGTCATAATGTCGTTTTTGACGTTAAAAAATTACGTCAAAAAACGACATTATTACGTCATTATTTTTGCACCAACCTAATACTAAGAATATTTTAGTCTAGCACAAGTCTGAACAAGGGAGGTAATGTGGAAGATATGATTGTGTTGCGTCAGACTTCCAAATGCAGGAGTTTATTTCAAAAATCAGCATGAGGAATTTTGACGCATCTGTTGCTCGAATTCCGATTAGCAGGGACGGTGTGTAACTGTCAGAGCCACGACGATCTAGTTCCACTCGAGTGTTACTGAAAAGTTAAAGCCAATAAAATAACAAACAGTGAAAGAACCTATGATGCCCTTCATGGAAGACGATCCTTCATTTGAGTATTTCCTTAATCTCGGGTTTTGTTACTGCAATTTATTATTAATAGAATGGCCGTATCGAAGAAGCATAAATTTTTGAAATCAATGATCGATAAACTGATCGCATAGATAGATAGATAGATAGATAGATAGATAGATAGATAGATAGATAGGTAGAAAATGAAGAGATTGATATAGACAATGAAAGGACTGGAATAGATAGCTAGAAGGTTAGATACATAGATTAATGTATATATATATATATATACATATATATATATATATATATATATATATATATATATATATATATATATACAGACAGATAGATAGACACACAGATAGATAGATAGATAGATAGATAGATAGATAGATAGATAGATAGATAGATAGATACCTGCCTAGTTACTATCTGGCTAGCGAGATAAATCGAATATATATATATATATATATATATATATATATATATAGAGAGAGAGAGATAGTAGTTTTTATAAGACAACTTCTGATTATAAATAAACATTAATTCTTGAGTAATTACTTTGTTTAAATAGATAGATAATGAGGTCTGTGATAGATAAGATAGATAAGAGACTGAGATAGATAGATAGATAGATAGATGATAGATAGATAGATAGATGATGCATACATACATAGACCTATCTATCATGAGATAAATCGATACACTCACTAGATAGATAGATAGATAGATAGATAGATAGATAGATAGATAGATACATGCCTAGCTACCTATCTATCGCGAGATAAATCGATACACTCACTAGATAGATAGATAGATAGATAGATAGATAGATAGATAGATAGATAGATAGATATCTATCATGAGATAAATCGATACACTCAGTAGATAGATAGATAGATGGATGAATGATAGATGAGATAGATAGATAGATAGATAGATAGATAGATAGATAGATAGATAGATAGATAGATGAATACATACATACATAATGCCTCACTACCTAATCAGATAAATCGATAGATACTAGATAGATGAGATAGATAGATAGATAGATAGATAGATAGATAGATAGATATGCCTGGCTACCTATCTATCATGAGATAAATCGATACACAACTAGATAGATAGATAGATAGATGGATAGATAGATAGATAGATAGATAGATGAATGAATAAGTAAATCACACTCACTAATAGATAGATAGATAGATGGGTAGATAGATAGATAGATAGATAGATAGATAGATAGATAGATACTAAGTCACTACGATAGATAGATAGATAGATAGATAGATAGATAGATACTAAGTCACTACAATAGATAGATAGATAGATAGATAGATAGATAGATAGATAGATAGATAGATAGATACTAAGTTACTACAATAGATAGATAGATAGATAGATAGATAGATAGATAGATAGATAGATAGATAGATATTAATAGTTATAAGATATAATGTCTAATTATAAATAAACAAACATAAATTCTTGAGGTATTACGTTGTTTACGTTTCGCATACGAAAATAAATTTAGCAATAATAGTCTTGGGAAGGTGGCCATATTTACTTCTTTAAATCGTTAAATTGTTAATTGAACCTTACTTTACTCTGATGTCTTTCCTGGCTGAGAAGTCTAAAGCACCCCCAGCTTAAAGGTGATTTTGAACACTGCCAAAAGGTAACATTTTTATTAAGACTTTCGAATGATCAAGCCGGTAGACAGCACTTGTAAACATGTGTAAAACACATGGCCGTCTAACCAAAAACGTGTATCTGCTAACTATGACTTTTATAGTAATTAGAAAATAGATATGAAAATCTGAAACAGGAAGAATATCAGAGTAAACATTCTCTGGACATTCTATGAATAATTGTCTCTTTATTTTAAATAGTATTAACTGTTGCATGAATCCTTTCAATACCAACTTAATCATAATTTCTAAAAAGGTAGCAATCTATTTTGGAAATAATCTAAGGCACAAATCTCTTTGAACCATCGCTCCCGACTATTGAGCCTGCATTTCTTGTTCAAGAGCTCAAAATTTGAACGTTTGGATTTCAATACATAATTTCAACACATTGAATGCAATGTAATACACCAATACATTTAAAATAAGTGTTTCAACTGAGGGAAATGTAGTAACTGGCATGATAATATAAGATCAACTCCAAAGCATAATAATTATATAATGATACAAATCTTAGCGCTGTGATATTAGTCTGAACTTGTGGCGAATAAAGATAACAGAATAACGTCTTTTGCATGGATAATTCGATAAACTACAGTCGTTGATAGTTGAAAATATTTTTGTCAATTTCGAAGCGTTTTAGGAAATTTGGTAAAAAAGGGAATGATATTGAAAAAAAAGAAATGTATAATTTTAAAATAAGCCTTGAAAAATGCTTGAAGAAATATCAGAAAGATCCTACCTGAATACTGGAATTTAAGCCAAATTCAGCAAGTGACTAACTGTTTTTAAAGGAAGCAGACAACCACACGAGGATCACAGACCGAATCCACCAGCCAAAATGGAGAATATATTAAAAATGAATATACATCATTAATATATATATTAATATGCATATATATATATATATATATATATATATATATATATATATATATATATTTAAACACATATATATATATTTATATATATATATATATATGCATATATATATATATATATATATATATATATATATATATATATATATATATGTATCTGTGTTTATCATTTACAGTAAAAACAAGCCGATCAGAGATACATACGTACAGACAGATACAAAATATAAAGTTGTATGAATATAAACAGATCTCTGTATAGCTCCGGTTGATTGAATATTTTAATGAAACTGATCCGATATGTGAGCTTGTCTCTGAATATACAATCTCTTTTTTATGCGGAGTAAACTAGCTTTACTGGCGTGATCACACATGTACTCTCTCTCTCTCTCTCTCTCTCTCTCTCTCTCTCTCTCTCTCTCTTGCTTATTCTCTCTTTCTCTCTCACATTCAAATTGACTTTCATTCTCTCGTTTTGTCTTTCTCTATTTATTTCTGTCTCTCTTTTTCTCTCTGTTTCTCTCTGAGAGTGCAAAGACATTCACTACGCGCATGCGTAATTATATGCGCATGCTCAAATGCACAAACTAAAAATATGATCTTCTCTTGTTTCCTATCTGGAACACCATAACTAGCGTAAACATACCCACCCCCAGAATATTTCCATATCTGGTAGAGTTTGAGAATTCAAATTACTCTCATGGGATGAGACAGAACAGTAAGACAGTGATGCGTCAGTTATGTCGACAATATAAAAAAAATGTCTCCATGGTCGACTAGGCAAAAAACATTGAATAAAGATAGTTTTACAGTCTATGGGTGTCAAAATAGAAGTTCATGTTTTGAAACGATTTGTATGACAGAACTGTTTTGTAAGGCGGCTTTAATCGCAGTATCGATTGAAGTTTTTTTTTTACGTTCTGTGCCGCTCATCGATTGTCTTGGCTTTACAGCCGACTGGTTAAGAGATAATTCCTACAGAAAGCGTCTCATATGATGTCTTTGGTCGGAAATAATCGACGAATGATCAGATATTCTCACACAACATTTTGATGAGACTTGCGACATGCGAAAGGTAATTAATCAATTCTGAACGATGTCGAGATGTTTTTCTTTTCTTCGCTTGTCGATATTAGTTACCATACCTGCTGTAATGATATACATCTATTATTACTATCGGTCTCCCATTACGGGGACTTTGACAATAGTTCATGTTTGTTTTTGGAAAACTTCGCCAACAAACATAGATTCAAACACTGACATCAAAACAAACCAATCACTGAGAGTAGTTACCAATTCCATTTTGTTTTTACATTGATGTTCAACCGGTACAAGGCCCGAGAACCACTCGAGGTAGAGTCTTACAGCAAAAGACACAGTTTAGAATATGTACCACCTCAGATTCAAATTGTAGAGATCGGGAAGACATTTGAGAGTAGTTACTTCCATTTTGTTTTTACATTGATGTTCAAAAAGTTCCGAGAACCACTCGAGGTAGAGTTTACACACAGTTTATGGGGATATGTACAGAAGATAACGGTTGACCCTAGATTTGAACAGATTCAAATTGTAGAGATCGGGAAGACATTTGAGAGTAGTTACCAATTCCATTTTGTTTTTACATTGATGTTCAACCGGTACAAGGCCCGAGAACCACTCGAGGTAGAGTCTTACATAGCAAAAGACACAGTTTATGGGGATATGTACAGAAGATAACGGTTGACGCTAGATTTGAACAGATTCAAATTGTAGAGATCGGGAAGACATCTTCTTGGGAGTTGATACCACAAAGCTGAGGTTTGCTGAATAGCTTGGATTTTTTCAGTGGGATGATTACATTGTACAAAGGCCAAAAGCCACTCGAGGTAGAGAGTTACTAAGTATGAGGCACAGTTTATGGACTTATGTAGAGAAGATAAGGGTTAACCGTAGACTTGAAAATGGTAAGATTCTAGAGATCCGAGAAACGTCTCCTTGGGAATCGTTTCCACGAAGCAGCGGTTTGTGGAGTGAAACTGCTTAAGTGGAACTGAAATCTTATGAATGAAATAAGAATGGAATGAGGGTGATTCGCTGCAATGTGCCTAAAATGACGGGTCTTAACTATGAAGATTAAAACTAGTAGAACTAACGAATACAGTTTGCATGAACAATTTCCATCGGAATATCGATAGAGCCGTGAGAAGCTTACAACGTTTCGGGGTTGTAGGGTGGAAAATAATATGTCACCCATAAGGATACATAGGCGCAATTGAACTCTATCGAGCCTTCAAATAAAGGACTGGACAGCACCCGATGTCCTTATATGGCAACAGTTTCCGTTTTTAGCCTGAGCTGACTCTTGTAAAGACAGACGACAGCAAAAAGAGTCAGGTACTTACTGAAGCAGTACAGGGAACAGACCATTTTTTTTCAGCATCGAATTCCACAATATATGCTCAAGTTACGTGGTCACCCCTAGGGAACATCCGTTCATCTTGTTTGATGGCTGTTCAATGTCTGATCGGCGTTTTATTCGAAGAACAATCATCTTTGTTGTTTTTAACTCAAAAAGTAAATCTCACGCGAGTTCAGGACTCTGTCACTCAAATCTTTGAAATTCTATTTTATGAAAGATATATAAATAATGACCTCCACCCACGGACCTCAATGTGCAACATAATAATGAGAATGGCCGAAAAAGTGAATCAGTCAAAAAAAAAAAAAAAAAAAGGAAGTTTTTGATAAAAAGAATCAAGATTAAGATACCAGTCGGTTTAAATTGTGGAATAGTAAATTATTTTTAAAATACAATTCATGTTATATTAGTATTTTGTTTCGTCCCAAAAAATCGTTATAAATATTGATTATATTGATTAAAGCAATTATGTTGGCTATCAAGTATCTTTGAAAGAGAGTGAAAACTTGGGAAAATATCCGGGTCTTTGTTCAGTTATAAAGCACATTGCTCGGAAGTTGACATCTATTTCCATAAAAACTAAAACAGATTTGAACAGGGAAAAGCTTTCAGTTACAAAATAAAGTTAAGTCGATAGCAAGATCAGAGAGATCACCTGATGGTATCAACGACAGTGAAGCGTTCAAATTGGACGGAATCGACTGCGATTTGAGTAATGAATTCGCGCGGTTCTGTTTGACACTGACTCGCTTCGGATGAATGTAAAAGACATGTAATTGATGTTTTTATCTAAAAATTAATTTTCACAGGAACAAGGGACTTTGACACTCAAATTTATAAAACTGTGTCTCCTCTGAATGAGATATAAAATAACGAACTACAACTACGGTACCCAACAAGCAACACATGAGAAGTACCCTTAAATTAACCAGTCAAGGTAAATTGTAATAAAAACAACTAAGATAAATATACTGATCGCTTTCTTTGGTGGAGTATTAAATTATTGTTTTAG